TATCGTGGGTAGAAAAGGTTAGAAATGAAGAGATATATAATATTTTTTTTATAAATATTTGAAGCATGTTTTTAAAAATAATCACTACAAAATTTTTTCTAAACAATTTTCATCTAAACATTTATGGTATGCTGTCGTCGATTATTACATATTCGTGTTTCATTAACCCTTAAAACCAACGAATAGCTAATCTCAATTGATTTTTATTAAATTTAAAACATAACATTTAGAGACGACGCGTATGATGGTCGCCCTAGACCCCAGGTACCTTGAAGACCGTTGCCAAATGCATATTTATGTTCTTCAAAATTTTCAAAACCTAGGAGTAACAAAATTTGATTTATTTCTATCATTATTGACCGAGTTGCAAATTTTTTTTATAACAACTTCGCAATGCACTTATAAGACTGCATTTTTCTTATGCAGCGATGTATTTTTGAAGATGAATTGATCTTTTATGTTCATAAAGTTTGTAGAAGAATCTAATGCAGAAAACGTATCTCGATCCGACTTAAGGTCGGAGCGTGCACACATCATAATTTTAAGTAATAGATAACAATCATTCGGAAGCAAATTTTATGGAAAGCATACGCCACTGTCCTTCTACCTTCCTCGGCAACATTCATTGTAGAAATATAAATAAATACATAGTATGGGGTATTTCACAATTATTATTGCTTGTTTAAAATCATAACCCATAATATATTTTATCGAAACAGAAATAATCCAAACGAATTTACAGATCAATCTATTGCGTTGGAAACCTGTGTAAAAATTATTCGTACACTTACTTTCCTCATTTTTTTTCCAACCTTCTATGATTCTTAGAAAGAAAATGTTTTCACTTGATTGCAGCAATCCCGACAAACCGATGATTCAATTATTAAAATATTTACTTATAATATTGTTGTAATGTGTGGATAAGCAGAAAGTTAAAAATAATATAACCTATTTAATTCATCATTAATAAAAATTGAAACCTGAGACCTTCGACTATTAATTCTGCTGAATGCTAGGCTATTTGCCATCAATGAAGCGTGCATAGGTACATCATGGGCAGTACTAATAACAAACTAGCACAATGAGAGGTTACGAATTGAACATTCAATTTATACTTTTCGTAATAGTTAGTAGATACTTTATAAATAACATTATCTTATTTCTTCTTAATAATTTTGTTAATTAATGAAAAGAATTTAAAACTAAAGTCATGTAAAAGAAATAAGATTAACTCCTACGGGAACAGAAATGATTACAATTTTTCCGAAAATAATTAAATCTTTGTTTATCGTGTTTCAAAGTTTTGCATACGTTCCACGACCAAACTTAATCAACCACCTAATTATAAATAATAAATACATTACAAACAATGCTCTTACTTTTTTATAGTTCTTTTGATTTAGTGTATTAACCTACATGGCATTTGTAGAACACCAAAAAATTAATTGATAGATTTTGGCCTTGTATTGTCAATTAAAATTTCAAAACACATCTTCTCAAAATCGTATTTTTCTTACCTTTTCAATTTCTTTTTGGCTCGGAAGGTGCGGCTAAGGGTGACAAAAAGGGTTTTCTTCAATGTCACCGTTTGTTGACTATTCTTCGTCATTGCAAAAAATACATTTGACACTACTAGTCACGAATTTAATACAAACACCACGACACTTGTACAATAATTACGCCCACCGTTGACGTTCTGGACCAATTGTTCATAAAATTGTCACAACAGTGTGCTGAGGTGGTGTTGTGCTGCTGCTGTTAGTGCTTGTGTGTTATTCGTTTCAGTTACAAAAACGCACTGTTAAATGCTACTTCCATTGTCGTTACTGTTGACGAACAACGGAACAACGACGTCGATTGTTATTGATTACTGTTATGAAATCGAACATGAAGACCGTAATAATTATTTATTACGTTATCGTAGACAAAATCGAAGCACCCGTCGCGTTGTGTCGCGTCTCGTTGATTATTACTATCTATTTATATCACACGTTTTATAATAATAAGGATGCGGTTACACAACGCGCAATTCATGCGGTTTACGCGGCGGCGCCTAGACCGTCGATAAATGTATACGATCCTTTTGGTTAACAGCTAGTGGGACATACATAATTCAGGAAGATGAAGACAAGATATCATCAGATACATAATAAAAAAAGACAGAGGGATGTATTTGTCCTTTAGAAAAGATTTGTCCCCAAAAAGCGATGGATTGGACTACCCAGTTCCCTATTTCCAGAAATCAACCGCTGATTCTAACGTTTAATTAATGAGAAATTAATTCTTTTTCAAAATTAAACCCTCAAAGGTGTAAAATAGAGTTTGCGATATAATCGAAGCGTGTCGCGTCTCGTTGTCTATTACTCACACGTTTTACAAAAATAAGGATGCGGTTACACGACGTGCAATTCATGCGGTTTACGCTGCTGCGCGTTGACCGTCGATAAATATATAACACCCCTTACAAACGAATAGTCAATCTGTCGACCGGGTATGAGTGACCCAAACAACCCTCAGATAGCGACTCCTATGGATATGCACTAGTCCTTCAGAAACGATTTGTCTTCAAAAAACGATGAATTGGACTATCGAGTTATCTACTTTCAGAAATCACGTGCTGATTTTAACGTTTAAATAATGAGATATGGATTCCTTTTCAAAATTAAACCCTCGAAGATGTAGACGATTTGGTTAACAGCTAGTGGGACATAATTCAATGAAGAACAAGAAATTGCCATATAGAAAATAAAACAAAAAATGCCGAGGAATCCACTTGTCCTCCAAAAACGATTTATCCACCAAAAGCGATGGAATGGACTATCGAGTTCCCTACTTATAAAAGTCACAAAATTATTTATACATTATCGTTTAATTAACATTTCTAAAATCAAATGGTATATATTTACGTATCACAGAATTAGTGTTATCCACTTGGTATGCGAGTACCCATATAAGTGTTGTTTGATGTAGGAAGTTTGAGAAACCGATTGTTAAACATTGCAGCTGTCTTCTTCGAAAAAGATGGCAAATAAAACTCTAAATGCACGTCTCGCTTCAGATGTCGAACGACACGGTGGTACTATGAATCGTTGTATGCAATATAAATCGATAACCAACGTCACGTACTAATCTGAACCCTATACGATGGCATTAAGCGGAAGTGAAAGACGATAAGGTAGCACATAGAAATTAAAAGCAGATGCTAATTGTTAATGCAGCATAAATATGTTTCTAAAAACGAAACGAAACGTGTCTGAGGCAAAAACGACAAAATTATAGCACAATAAATTTAAATGGAACTCTGTGGAATCGAAACAAATAAAACATTGTAGAGTGGCGAGCTTCTTCGCGTTCACATCCAGAGTTGGAAATGGAAGGACTTCTGAAGAAGGTCGTCACTCGTGCTAGTGAAACGTTAGGAAACAACTCCAACGGTCTTTCGACTCGAATCAGGTCAGCGAAAGTCTACATTTGACTTCGTTCCGATTTTTGGTAAAATTTTGGTCGGTGGTATCAAAACGTTTAGGGATCCACTGCTTCACTTTATTTTCAAACTACTTAACTTGTTTTAATTTGAAGTCAAGCAGACGTTTCGAATATTTGAAGAATAAAATAATTCTTTACGTCGACTTGATTTTTTCAAAATTATTTGATCATTTCATGACATCAAGTTTTAGATAGCTACTATTAGGTTCACATATTTGAGAAAATTTTTCGAAATCCGCAAACAGCTCATCAACCATTATATCATTGTCTAACGTTATCGTTGTATTCTCTGTCTCTTCAAGTACCGAATCATACACCCAAATTTAAAATGTGCGCAAACTGTCCATGTGTTTGTATTGTTGGTCGTATTTTTTTTTTGAAAAAAAAGTCTTACACTTGCATTAGACCCTAACAATTCATCATCATCTTCATAAGATCGTTAATCCTAAAACTGATTGAACACGCACTTCCTCTTTTTTCTATTCTGAGCTAATCTTTGCATTTCTTTAAAACTAGAACATCCCACATCCTTAACTATTAGAGAACAATAACGTAATCTAGGTCTACCTTTAACCTTCTTAACTCCTGTTTCTGCATCTAATATGTCTCTGGCTAGCCCTTCATGCCTGAGGTTTCCTATCAACCTATCTCGCCTATTCCTTATTC